TCTGAAGTGTGTCCTGTGGCCAGGGAACAGGATGAGGCAGAACTGCCAGGTGAGACAGGAGGGAAGGGACACTGCCATCCAGATGTGCCGTCCCTGGAGACAATTGCAAGCCAGGCTGGATGTGGTTCTGAGCAACCTGATCTAGTTGAAGATGTCCCTGCTCATGGCAGGGGGTCGGTCTAGATAACCACTGAAAGTCCTTTCCAACCCAGGCTGTTCTATGATACCAATTCTACGATTTTCAAACCAACTGAATTAGCAATTGGTCAGAGGACAAGATTCCATCAGAAGTCTCCAGCAAAGGGCGCTGTGATGCTGAAATACAGGACTGGTGCTTAGCACAGGTCCTACCTCTCCAACCAGCTGCACCTCCACCACGTGGGGAGAGCATGCTGTGCTGAATAAGTGGGACTGAGCAGGAATCTGTCACTCTGTGCCAAGCAGAGGAGCACAAGAGATGGATGAGGATAAACCCATCCTTCTTCACCAAAGCCCAGTGCCCCCTTCTGGCTCCACCCTTGCAGGAAGGCGCAACGTTATGAAACTAACAGCTCAGACCAAGGGCCCACCTTGCCCGGTGTACTTTCTGGACAGTACTCAGACCTACGAGCACTTTGCAGTTCAGCAGTCAGAGGTGCATCTTGGTGTATTTCTTGGTTCTGAGGGAGCCTCTTGCCCTTCCTGAATTCGTCCTGTTTCTCCTGGAACCCATGTAAGGTTTCGCTGCTCACAACACCTTGTTCTGAGGACTTCTGCAGTTTGACAGCACATCTGCAAGAGGCAATGCCCCTCCTCCTGCCAGCTTCATTTGATGCGACCTTGTACTTGCATAGAAGGAAACAGTGAACACTTAACCTCCGTGACTCTCTCGTGGCCTCCTGTAGGCATACTTTATTCATCTTCTGCTCTTTCTTTTCCAGTTTTAAGAACCCTGCATTCTTTAGCCATTTTGCATAGGGGCCATCAGACCTCTGACTGTTCCTGCTGCAACTTCCAGGCATCTGACTGCACAAGGATCTCAGCACGGCTCTCCAGTGCTCCCCTGGGCAGCTCTAGAGGCAGACACACAGAGCGACTGCTCCTCTTCTCCTGCATCACTGTCCCACGATTCCTCAAGTTGCTCAGTGGTGCCTGGAGTCACGTAGGGGTAGAGGAAGGGTGTGAAAGCAGCTGGACTCAGACTCACCTCCACAACTCCTTTAGCACTGGTGCCAGCACCAAGACATGGACAAAGCCACCTCCATGGTGAGTGGCACTTTGGCCACGCTACAGACTTGAGCTTCTTCTCCCACTCCTGTAGAGCAGCAGCTGATGAATGCCTAATGGAGGCAAAGTGCCTGCAGCCGCATCACACGCCACAGGCCATTCACAGCAGCCCGCTCTCCAAGCCCATGTGAAAAGCCTTCCTCTGCCAACCATCCTCACCCTCAGAGAGCCGCAGCAGCCCCGGCCCAGACCCAGCACTGCTCTCACACGGTGTGAGCACTGTAACCCTCACCAGCCTTTGCCCGGCCCCTCTGGCATGACCATGGCAGAGCCCCGGCTCCTCGCAGGGCACGCACCCCCCGAGGCGCACCTCGGAAAGAGCAGACCGACTCCTCTGTTGTGCATTTTGCAGCGTCAGGAATGAGGCTTCTTCTCCAGCGGTCCCCTGAGCTCCTTGCCAGGGCTGCCTCAGCCCAAGCAGAGCTCCCCAGCGTGAAGTGTTGCTCACAGACACTGTGACACCCCCCTCCCTGCCCCGATGCCGCCAGACAACACGGCAAAAGGGGCAGAGCTTCCCCACGCAACTGCAGGGCTAAGCAGGAGCACGGGCTCCATCAGGGGCTGCAGTACCAGATCGCTACTGAGCCCAGACAAGCCTCCAGACAAGCAGCACATCTCCTCCCAACCAAGGAAAGCTTCCAGGAGCTGCACACACTCAGCAGCCGCAGCCAGAAGCCCCCTTGTCTTCCACTGCTCCTACTTCTCCCCATGACCCCCCAGTCAGGCTCACCGCAGGACGTGAATGACGTGGGGTCACGCTGCCGGCACTGGCAGTTGCAGGACCTGTTCTTCATTCCCCTCACACGCTCTGCGGTGCTGCCAAGGCCGGCACAAGGTGCTGGGCACAGCCCCAACCGCGGGGCCACGTTAGGAGACCACCACAGCATCTCATCCACCATGCAGCACCATTGAGCTATGACAGCTCTGAGTAGCCCAGCACCAGGATCCAACCCGTCTCCTTCTGCTGATGTACCCCCACCTTCCCCCATGCAGATCCAAGACCCACTTGGATACAAACACCAAACCCTGCTTAAGAAGCATCTTTTGAAACTCCCTGTCAGCAGCAGCCAATAACCACAGACCATCAAGGGAGAAATCTCTGTCTGGGATCCTGCAGAGAGCAAAAACTGTCCCACCCCAATGGCACCAAAAGCTCTAGGGACAGAACCAAGCTGTCCCTGCCCCGTCCCTCTGCCCACGCTGCACAGCCCCAGGACAGCAGCTCCTCAGCCCCTCCATGCTCTGCTATGGGGTTTCACAGCCTCCTGCATGGCTCCACCGCAGCTTGTGCTCAGACACATGCTCCACATCCCCACCACTTCCCACCCTCCTCTTGTTACTGAATTCTTTCAGCTGCCACCAGTTACCCCACACTGGTCTGTCCGAGGTCACAGTTGCTCCTGCAGAGCAAAAAGGACTTCCGTTTGCCTCCACTTGCTGCAAAGGAGTAGCTCCTAGCAGGAAAGGTATGGGAAGACAGCAGCAAACTGCTTGGGAGGCAACAGAACTGCTGTGGTGGAGGAGATTTAGGAGCTGGCTGAGCTGGTGCTGCTCAGGGGTGGTTTAGATGGAGCTTAGAGATTCAATCACCTCAAGGTGCCTTCTATACTTGCTGTCCTAAAACTCCTCCTCCCTTGACACAAAGACAAGGCCAACGTGGACCTGCCAGACGATTTTGGCAGTCACTATGTCCGTGTTCTCTCTCATGGACTCAGTGTGACCGTGGTCAAAATGCACCCAGACCCTGCCTGTGCTGGACCTGAGCACCCATAGCAGACCCCACAGAGAGCCTGGAGAGATGCAGCCGCCTCAGCCGGAGCCTTGGTGCAGGCTCTGCCAATTCTCGTGCTGCCTTCTGAAGTCTCAGCAGGCTCCTGCCCTACCAGCACTGCCCGGTTCCTGAGCACGTGCTCTCCAGCCCTCTGGGATGAGAGCCTTTACATGGGGTCTGGGAAAGAGACAGACCCGAATGGAAGGTCCAGAGCAACAGGCTTGGCATGGGCACAACCTTCCTCTTCCACAGCACTGCCCTAGATTCACATTCAGCCATTGCCGTGCTGAGCCTGGGTGGCTGAGGCTGTGCAAGGCACAGACAGACCATGCCAAGATGGGCTCTGCAGCTTCTCAGCACTGGAGGGTGCAAGGGCTGCCCTGGGTCTCGGCAGCGTCCGCCTGTGCCCCGGTGCTCCGAGGTTGAGCTGTGTGTTTGCAGGTGTCCAACCCAACTCCACATCCCGGCCGCACAAGTAACCATGGCAACTGCACATGTGAGTGGCAAAGCCTCGAGCTGGGCTAACTGCGAATGCAAATGAAGCAAACACATGCACCGTGCTCAGTGTGACCTCTAAATGTCAGCCCGTCACCATTCTGCAGACACCAGCTCTGGGGGTGGCTACCTGCAGCCTGTGGATGGAAGGAGGGACCTCAGGCTTGGCACAGGTGCTCTGGTGCATCACCCCTGCCTTGGTACCCTGCAACCCCCTGAGGACACATCTACCCCTTGTGCAGCTGCAGATGCCTCCCATGGTTTTCAGAGGAAGGAAGTTCCCACCAGGCTGACACAAAGCATGGCCAGTGCAGGGGCTCAAGGGGAGCTGGGTCTGTCAGCCTGGCCATAAGGGCACCTCCAGCCCCTCTGCCCTCACCTACGGCATCAAATGAGGCACCCACAAAGGACAAAAAGAGAATTCCAGTGCCACAGGGATTCCATGGCAGTGCCACCTCCCCAGAGGAGGCCCGTGGTCTTGGGAAGGGCTGCCAGAGGAAGCACCAGGAGATGCTATCATTTGGGAGATCATAGTCCAGAAACAGACCAGCTGGCCAAAGGCTTTGCATCCCTCCTCACTTCTTCTCTCCCGTACTGCCAACAGCACTAGGCATGGGCAGGCCCCGGTGCTGACCATCACCACACTGTCCTGCTCCATGGCTTTGAGCACAACAGGGCCAAACTCAGGCAAACGGTGCAAACCTCAGTGCGAATCAACGGAGCCACCAGTAACTCGGCACCACGAGCCTGGCTCACCACATGGCCTGGGGACCAGCACCACCAGCACGGTAGAGCCCGTTTGCCAACGAGCTTGCCCTCAGCCTGGCTGACTGCCCAAGAGAGAGACAGGGAATGATGCCCTTCAGCTCCAGGAGCCCGGCTACCAATGTCATTCCCCATGCTCCAGAAGCCCAATGGCCAATGTAATTCCCCATACGACAGTCACTGATCTAAACCACGGGGATCTCCTGCCTGCCCTTGACCTGGGGATGCTCACGACGGCAGCCTCATACCGGACAGCACCCGGCGCATCCTTGCACCCCAAATAACCACCCCCCCGGCACCCCGCACGGCGCCGGAGCGGGAACACCGGCGCTGGGACAGCGGCTGCTCAGCAGGGAACGGGGCCAGCCGGGGCCGCGCCGGGCCGGGGCCGCGCAGCCGAGGCGGGAGCACAATCCCCCTTTCAGCGCGTCGCCATGGCAACCCGCCGGCTCGCCGCGGCCGCTCATCCGGCCCCGTTAACCCCCGCCGGTCCCCGCTGCCGCGCTCGGCACCACCCGGTAACTCCCGCCCCGATGCCCAGCCCTGCTCCCGACGCCCCCACGTCGGCACCGGCCCGCGGCCACCCGCCCTCCCTGGAGCACCATCACCTCCGCGGCGCCCGGCCCCAGACCACCGCGCATCGGGGCCGGCCCCTTTCCCCCGCCGGAGCCACCGCGGTGCGGCCCGGCCGGGGGGCACTCACCGCCGGGGCTGCCGGGGCTGGGCCATGCCGGTGGCGGCAGCGGCTGCTCCGCGCCCCTCTCGGTCCGGCCGGCCTCGGCAGCGGGAGCGCGCGGCGCGTGCACGGGGGGCGGGCGGGGGCGGGGCCGTGCCGCGGCACCCCTTCGCTGCCGGCGGTCCTGGCCCCGCACCCCCCCGGGCACCCTCCGGCCACCGTGACCCCCCCGTCCCCACCGCACACCCGCACACCCAGGGGCGCGCTGCACCCCTGGCGAACGACCCCGTCTGCAGGAGCACCCTCACGCCGGCAACCTCTGCTACCCTGCGGCACCCCGGGCATCTCCACCCCGCCATCGCGCACCACCCCGGCATCCTGCACCACCACAGGAAACCAGAATCCTGCCCCGCTGCATCCTGTACCCTCCGCTGCTCCTCTGCATGGCTCCTGCACCCCCCGTCCCGCATAGTTCCAGGCTCTGTAGTCCCGGCGCACCTGCCTGCACCGGCAGCATCCCACACCTTCCAGAACCATGCCAAGGGAGCAGCCCCAGGCTCTACCAGTGCTCTGCAGCGCCTGGCTGTTTCAGAGAGGATTGGCCAGATCCCAGGAAGGGATGTCCCATCCCAGCCTCAGCCCTGGGGCCAGGCGAAGGTGTCTGCCCCCCTGCATCCCCCGCCACGCACAGGGCTGTGGCCTCAGCAGCCACAGCCCCACAGGCCCCAGCAGCACCGTGCAGCAAGACACAGCACCTCTGGTCATTTCCCTTTCCCCTGTGAGGAATGTCTTCCGTTTGCTCAGAGCCTACTGGCAGGAGCCACCGCTCCTCCAGCCTGCCTTTGTCCATGGCGGGGCTACCTCGGGTCCAGTGCTGCCTGATGGGATTAGAGATCATTTGAAACAGGGCATGGATCTGAATCCTGCTGGGTGCGTCTGGTCTCTGCATCTCTCTGCTGTAGCCAGGACAGAGGCAGCTGCGATGCTTGATCAAAGAGGACGCGCAGTTACCAGCAGACACATCCACGCCTTCCGATCCCGACGAGGGGAGCTGGGCTCTGCCTCGCTCCTGCTGGCAGAGCTGCAACCCAGACCCTACCCAGGCTCTGCAGAGCAGCCGCCGCTTCCCATTTAAGTTGCTCATGTGGCAGCATGCAGAGGGCAGGCACCTATTCCAGTGCTCCCATGTCCTCAGCACACACACTGAGCTGCTGAACATCCAGCCACAGGGAGATCCCTGGCACCCTGCTCTGGTTGGGCTCCAGTGGCCCCAGCACCTTCTCCGTGCTGCACAACAGGTCCGAGCTTTCCTGTCCCACACCCTCTCCCAGGGACCATGGGTGGCAGCTTGACCGATTGCTGTCCTGTTACACCCAGGGTGAACACACCGCCAGCTCTGTACGCCCTCGAGCAGGCAACGTGGTCCAGCACCTTGTGGGATGGATGCACAACCCTGCCTAGTGCCCACCAGGGTTCATCAGCTCTGAGAAGCATCTTGAAGGCACCCCTGGACCAGTGCAGAGCTGCCCCATGGCAGGCCGGGCTCCCTCTTTTCCACTGCCAGGCAAAACCAGCCCAGGACAGGGTCATGGTGTACCATGGGCACCACACTGGGAGCACTGGGCACTGGCACAGTGGGTGGGGGAGTGCGTGGGACACAGCCTGCTCCTGTCTGCCCATCATCCCCCTGTGCCAAGCCTTTGCGCAACCTTGGACTTCGTGTGCTGGACCCATGCCGCTTATGGACCCTGCCCAGACACCCCTTGGGGCTGCCCCTCCACCCCGGGGAAGCAGTACCAACCACTGCTACCCCAGAGCAGTGGTCACAGCAGGGCAGCTGCTCACATTACTCAATGGGCAGCATCTAATGACCCCCCCTGCCCCCGGCTCTTTCACAAGCAGCATTTAGAGGAGGAGGAGGGCTGGAAGCCGTCAGACCTGCTGAAAGCTGCAGCTGCTCAGGGCTAATGTGCAGCACAGCAACAGCGGCTCCGAGGCATGCAGCCAGCCTGGGCAGAACGCAGCCAGCCTGGGCAGAACACAGCTCCCAGGGTGCTCAGTCTCACAGCACGCTGCAGCCTCCTGCACCCCCTGGAAACCTCTGGCAGCCAGAGGTTCTTGGAGACCGGGAACCCTGGGTCTGCCACCACAACGGAGCTCTGGAGTCCTGCTCATCCCGCATCGGCACCGAGCCCCAGGAAGGGACAAATCATCCCTTTCCCCCAAGGGAGGCTGAGCAAGCCTGCCGTGCTTTCACCAGACACAAAGCAGGAGGGCAGCACCCGACTCCGTTCTCTCCAGCATCCCTGCCGAGAGCCGTGCTGCCTCCTGCCACCCCACTCCGGTGCTCGCTGCTGCCTGCAGAGCCCTCCTCCTCCCACCTCTGTCACTGCATGGATGCAGACACCGTGTGGATGCAGACGCCACTTGGCGCAGACCCAGCTGCCTCCCAGGGCTGGCAAGGAGGGAGCTGCAAGCCCTGGCTGCACACACCAGGAAAAGGGGCTTGTTCTGGCCAGAGCCAGTGTCCAGCTTGCCCAGAGTGGGCTCTGCTGGCCCAGGCACTTCTGCCCAGCCCAGCCCTCCTCCAGAGCAGTGAGCAGGGCTTCCATTTTCTGGGGCACCCAGCACAGGCTGCAGGAAAGGAGAGCCCCTCGCCCACACCTGCCCTGGGGTGTGAGGGGATCTCACAGCTAGCTCCTGGATGCTCCCCAGACTGATCCTTAGGGAAGGGGACAAGCAGGGATGCACAGAGGAAGCAGCCCTGCGCACATCTCCTGAACAGGGAAGAGTGCCCATCTCCATCAGGCCTGGCCAGCAACATCTTCTACCCCACCTGCAACAAGGTGGCAGGAGCCTACAGGGATCCAGGGGACATGCAGTGTGAGGTGAGCAGATCCGATGCTTGGGGCAGCAGAGTCACATCTGCCAGCACATGGATCTGAGGACTAGAGCCTCAGCATCCCTCCTTCCTCTCCGCTCCCTAACTTGCCTTCTTGCTGTGGCCTACCCTACAAAACTGTTATGTGCCCTCAGACTAAGATCAAGGGTAATTTTTCAGTAAGTCCCTGTGAACCTCACCCTATCCCACAAAAATGGGACAGAAGACATTGGTCAAGAAAAGCTACCAGGGGAACCACAGGTCAAATGGTCCATAAGCAAATTGCTGAGGAAGAACCAAAGAGAGAAGAAAGGTGGTTTCCAGATTCCAACAGACAGCAGGAACAGCGAGCACTAAGCTAGAGCAGGCTGCTATAGAGACAGAGGTATGACTCCATGGCAGCATGCTGCATTAGCCAGGTCGAAAGTTGAGAATACAGCATGTTACCCATCCAGACAAAGCAGTGTGGCTGTCAGGAAGGAGTGAACAGAGGAGCTTTGGTGCCTGTCAGCAAAACTGTGCTGTGAAAAGTGCTGTGAGCACATTTGGTCTGCAGCTCCTCCTAGACTGCAGAGGTACCAACCTGAGCCTCAGTACCTGCTGTGCCTGGGAAGCTAGGTTTGTCAGGGCTCAGAACTACCCTGCAACGCAAGTCCCTCTTTGCTTTGTGCCTCTGTCCTGGTGGAACATGCCAGCAGTAAGACTCTGGAACATGCAAAGCCTTGCAAGCGCATGAACGCCAGCTCATGAAACAAACACAGAGGAAGGGCTTTCTTTCCCAAGCCAAACTATTTAGCCATTCACAAAAGCTCAAAAGGCATACATTAGTTCTACTGGGGAAAAGAGACCATGCGCAGAGGTGCTGCGGGACTGTACTGGGTGGAGTGCTGAGGAGCAAAGGCAGGTTCTGAACACACACTTCTTTTGCAAAGTAAGCTCTCTGTATTCATCCAAGAATGTCTGCAGTACAGGGTTCATCTGGTATAAATAAAATACAAAATTTTACAATGTCTTAATCATTATTTTAACAAAAATACTAAAAACTGAGTAAAAACTGAAACTAAAGTGGGGAGGGAGACTATGAGCCACAAGGGATCTCCATAAACATCTGTAGAAATTGGATAGTAAAAACACTTTCTCTGTACAACAAAACCATCTTCTTGGCACCTCCCTGTGCGACAGGCGGCAGCAGCAGCACTGGCCACAGGACAAAGATTGCGCCAGCCCCAGCTTGAGGGTCAGGCTGGAGAGGCTGTGTGCAGTCCACAGTGACGTCTGCCTCCTGGATCAGGCTGAAGTGCCACGGATCAGTAGCGTCCAAACGGGTTGTTGTTCTGCTGTGTCTGTGTATCTGTTGAGGTCAAGACAGGCAGTCACAAGGTCTGGTTCAGGGAAGAGACCCCTCTCCCCATACCACCAGCACCAAATGACAAGCATTTCACAGGCATGAAGTATGACCTTTATGGCACTTTCTGCTCTGCTCATTTCTCTGAGCCTTGAGGTAGCACCACAGTCAAGACCCACATTCCTTGAGGAAGACACAGATAATGTGCCAGTCCTGATGCTGAAGCTCCTGCAGAAGCAATCTCCCTATCCCTTGTGGTGGAACTGGTGCACCATCACAAAACCCTGAGAGGTGGCAGCGAGCTGGGAGGGTGAGTCTGGGGATAAGTTCTTTCTGATTTGGAAAGAAAAACCAGCCTATAAGATTCCACAGCACCTGCAGGCATACAACTGCTCAGCCAGTGTCAAACACCCCATCCTGAGGCACACCCAGAAACCAAAGCCAGTGAAGGTTTCAGAGACAACCATCCTGGCCCTCTGTCAGTACCTCGGTACAAATAAAGTAACATGCTAAAGGACTTCCAGATAGCACAAAAAGGGCAGGAAACACAGTAAAGTTGTATTCAAGAACATCATGAACTTCCAGACTGCTGGGACTGATGTTTCGTGATGTACAGTGCTCACAGGACGCTCGAGTACTGTCCTGTTACAATGGAACTCTGTCAGCCTTTCCTGAAACCCCATCAGCACACTTGATCCTAAGTCAGGTTAAGTAAAAGGAGACCAGTGTAACCTGGTTAGCCTGCTTTCCTTCTCAACCCTGCTGGACAATAGCACATTCAGAGACACCCTGGAGTCTCCTAACAGAGTCTATCCTGGGGCCAAAGTATTCTTGTGCCCCTCTTACAGGCTGTTCTTGGTTTATGCCCTGCTTTCCACCCCATCCCAGACACTACAGATAGGAACTCCA